GCTGATGTCAAATACAAATACAAATACAAATAAACATACATCGATTATATGGACTGCGAGTGACGCCATAAAGTGGCACGGTTCGTTTCCCGGTCAACCATACTGGGAAGGCGAGCGAATCGTGGCGAACCCCCTAGTCACTTTCTCCATAGTAACGGTTTCACCGTCACAGAGCTGCCTCCGGATTCCTCGGGTCCCAAGCGCCTTTTGAATCAAAGCCAACGCAGGACACACCGGTCCCGTCGGGGCTGGCGCGTGGCGGCCTGAAATTCGGTCGCGTCTAGTTTGAGTTTCTTTGTGGAGCCGGCAGCGCAGGCAGCCGCGGCGTGGTCGGCCTTCGTTGCATGTCTGGTTTAATATGGTGGCCGTCTGTCTGGTCTAATATGGTGATATGATCAGTGGACACGGCATCCAATGTCCCATTTATCCACGGCCCAGCCCACAGCTTAGGTCTTTCCGGATGAGCGTATGAAAAATGGATGATTTTCTCGTTATTGCGACTTATAGCGGCCTTATTTGTGGACATGCATTATCGACGCTCGATAGAACGCCGTAATCTAGCAGCTTTGATTCCTTTGATTAACTCAGATCCTCTTAGATCGATGCCAGGACACCCAGCTCCACGCGGTTTACCGGAGCCTCCATTGCGCGTGATGTTTTCTTGCCAAAGGTGACGCATATTTCGTCCCTGGGGTTTTACAACGCAGACAGCTACTGAGGCTGTGTGGTGTCGCCTGCCTGAAGCCCTGGCAAGGAGGGCGCACACCACAGGGACGTACGACGTTGTACGACATTGTACTCTGATGTGATCCCGTTGAGAGAAATCGGTGCCAGCATATGCATTCGCTTAAGCTGGCAGGCGTATCTGATCATGAAGCGGTTTTGTAGGGCTGAAGGCGGATGCTGACGCCGAATATCTCGTGTACTCGGCTCCGCGTTTCAGCGCAAAAGGCGTGCTCCAACCTCTAGGAGAGTACACTTTTTGTTGATAAACATTAAAATGATATTTATTTATATATTTATATTGTATGATATTAGACTATAAAAATAATAATCGTATGATAAATGTTATAAGAAACCCATACCCATATTCAGCCTATAATTAAAGCCTGCATTTTTTCATCTTGTATTTGTGGCGCGTTGCGGATCACCACAATCCCCATCTACGGCCGCCCCGATCCTCCCGCACGCCCCGCTCCGAGCTGACCTCGCCGCCCGGTCACATGACCCACCGCCGCCGGCTACGGGCGGACGCCTGCTGACCCAGGGTCAGGCGGCGGCCGACCGCGGCAGGCTCGTACCAGATGCACCTCCAGCCTCACATACACATATCACACACAGATTCGAACCACACATGGCGTGGTCTCGTTTGACAACTGCTAAAGGCAAGTGAAACAATGGACACATCATCGGCCAGCTGTTTGGAATCCTGCAGACATTTAGGGTGTCCATCATGAGTGCAGTGAGGCAGGTGTGCGAGAGTCGACAGACCGTGGTGAACTCGCCACCGGTGCTCGTGAGGGCCCTGACTTGTAGTGGGAGCTGAACAGAACTCTCCACCAACTATCCGCGCGCCACGTGGCCAGGCATCCGCCAGCTAATGGCCTGTGGAGGAGGTCACGACTAGCGTCCTAGTTGGCGCTGGGGTTTTCTACGTACTCCATGACCCAGCAACAGAACAGGCTTTGCACGTGATAGCGGCGTCAAAGCAAGGTCAGGCAAGCCTAACCACCCGCCAAACCTGTGTTCCTGAACAGATGAAGTCAACGTCATGCTGCTAAACGCTATAACAGTTATCCGAAGTCACGTAAGTTGTTCAGTGCATTAGCGAGGAACATTATTCACCTAGATAAGACAGTAGCAATCACCTTATTTCAGGAGAGCAACCAGGAGAATGGAGATATAGGTGGGTTGAGATTTTGGCAACCTGCCGTTAAATTTCCCGCCAATGATCCTACTGGAATTTTCAGTTATTTTTTTTTGAAACAGCAGGCCACAGATTTTACAGGACACCAACATTCAGGGAATTAAGCATAGAGCAACCGCCAGCCATTACCACGATACAGTGCCTATCTAAAAATTAGAATGCGCGAACATACGTGTCCAGGCACACGAATTCAAGCAAAAAGGCATCACGCATCACGCTTCATTCAAACATGCAAGCGAGTTGAAGTAAACAGGTATCCCACATCGCGCATTTATTATATATGCAAGCGGTTCAAATTGAACAGACGTCGCAAATCACGCGTCAGGCATCACTCACACATGTGAACGATTTTAAGCTAGCACACATTACACATAAAGGAACATATCACGTTCGCATAATCGGCCATGATGAGCCCTGTATGTTAAGATTTGGTCGTCGACTTTTGATAAGAATAGGTTCACTTAATTTCCTGTTCGGGTGGTCCTGTGCTCTGTAGATGACTTTAGGCTCTAACAGGGGGATAGGGTTCATACCTTCCTCGATTTCAGCCTGAGCGTGTTTTGCCCCAAAAATGGTCACCGAAATAGGTATTCCGTGTTTTGTTTTTAGCGTTTCGCAGGTGTTCATTATATCTCAAACGAACAGAGCGCATGGACTCCCCAACATAAACTACGTCCCTTCCATGTTTTTCACATAGCCTACATTTGGTTTCGTAAACCACGTTTTTTTTTGCGTGCAAAGCTCTTGAAACCCAGAACTGCATATATGACATCTACTGTCACCCGAGCACTTAGGCTTTCAGATGGGAGATTTTACCAGATACTTTTTTAGCTTACTGTCGCTCTTACAAGTTATGCATACGCGCAGTTTCGATTTTTTAGCAATGCGTTTGTTTTTGTGCTTTTTTTTGTTTGCTTATGTGTTTAATTTTCCAAAGCAAATGCTTTGTTTAAGGTAGGGTATATAATATGCTATATAATATAACATGATATAATATAATATGCTATAAAAGGTAGGGTTAAGAATCTGTCTTCCGATAGGACGTGTTCCCGCCTCCTGCCACCCATCCCCGCGCGCTTTTGACTTTGTTTTACTTCTTCCAACATTCTACCTTAAAGTTGCGGAAAATAGCCATTGCCCCACTGCAAAGCCCAAATCTCGTTTATGCTTTTCGTTTATTTTCACTATTTGATGAGTTGCTTAGAGCCCTATGGAGCATGTTGCGAAGTGTGTTGTGCCTAGTGGGCGTGGGATGCCTAGATTCGCCGTGCAGAATTATACCAGAGTTGGTGGGCCTGACAAAGAGTTCCGTTTCTAACGTTGTGCGGCTGTCCCTCCTTTCCACCGTCACTAGCGTATCCAAGCAGGGGACCCATTTCTGCCCCCTGCATGCTCCAGCGTAAAAGCTAGATTTGGATGCTGGTTGTTTAGGAACTCTAATTTTTTTTCTAGGGCACGCTGTCCGTGCGTCCATACCCCCGCGTAATAATCAATGCATCTAGCTAAAAAAGTTGGTTTTAATGGGCTTGCTGCCAGTACCTTCGTTTCAGTTTGGTCTAGAAATATTATCTCCAGAGGAGCGCGTGGGTTACGCATTGCTTTTCTCAATTTTGTCGGTAGAGTTAATCTGCGAACGAGAAAACATAATGGAGACACTGTTCCAAAAGGCCGCAGATATGTTCTTTTGATAAACCGAAAACATCAATTTCATTGGAATGTTTGTCCTTCATGGCTTTCACGGCAGTGACAGCCTCATTGAATGGTATATTACCATATAAAATGACAACATTTACACTGAAGAAAATGTTGCCCTCTGGTTATCCTTCTGCCTGCGAATTAGTAAAACCTTTTTTTAAAAGTCTGTTGTGTCCCACAGATTAGTGGGAACAAACCTCAAGAGTTGGCTAAGAATTTTCTCTAAAAGACACGAAGTTTTTTCTCTGCCACCACCGCACGCACATATACCAGGTCTAATGGGCACTGCAGGTTGGTATTCTTTGGACACCCTGTTTACGCATACACAGGCGCTTTACCGTGTCTAGGTGTCAACTATTCGATGGTTTTGTCAGAAAAATAGGCTCTATGCCACTTCTAGAGGTCAAAGTCACCTACAGAGCCCTGGACCACACAGACAGGAAATGAAGAGAACGTATTCTTAAAAAAGTCGGCGACCAAATCTCAACACACAGGGCTCGTCACGGCCGATTATGCGAAGGCGATATGTGCCTTTATGTGTGATGTGTGCTAGCTTAAAGTCGTTGACATGTGTGAGTGATGCCTGTCGCGTGATATGCGATGTCTATTCAATTGAAATCGCTTGCATGTATAATTGATGCGCAACATGTGATGCCTGTTTACTTCAACTCGCTTACATGTTTTAACGAAGCGTTATGCGTGATGCCTGTTTGCTTGAATTCGTTTACATGTACACGTATGTTCACGCATTCTAATTCTCAGATAGGCACAGTATCGTGGTAATGGCTGGCAATCGCTTTTTGTTTAATCCCTGAATGTTGGTGTTCTGTAAAAACTGTTGTTTGCTGTTGAAAAAAAAACTGAAAAATCTAGTAGGAAATCGGCAGGCATTTTTAACTTCACTTCTACTATCGTTTCGATAAAGGCATGGTCTCGAAATATCAACCCAACTATATCTCCATTCTCCTGTTTTTTTTTTGTCTCCCAGGAATAACGCTATTACTACTGTCTTATTTATCCGAGGTCCCTTGTTTGAGAAATTGAGAATCAAAATCATTAGACGATACCTGCCCCAAAAGTCAGATTGGTTTTTGAATAGTTGATTCGCTTTCCTCAATTTCATAACATTTTCATAATGATATGAGGGGGCCCAAACCAACATCTGGGGTCCAAGTCAACAATTTGAGCCAGGCCCTTCAGGAGGTGTTGCACCCCCCTGTCAGGCTGCCAGGCCCTTCAGGAGGTGTTGCACCCCCCTGTCAGGCTGCCAGGCCCTTCAGGAGGTGTTGCACCCCCCTGTCAGGCTGCACATATGTATTGGAACAAAAACACGCCCCTGGGATTGAGGTTGACACCTGCACTTTCTCTCTGCCCTCAGTGAACCTCAATTCCGCACCGGTGAACACGTTGGATGACCCGTCGAAGCCGGTGCTTCTTATCATCACGGCATCCTCGCCACGCAGCGGCTCTAGCTTCCTAGGTTTGTGGTTGGTGGTGCAGGCAGTGCGGTGGTTAGGCTGGGCGTCTGGGGAACAGAGGCACCAGGTTTGATTGCTGCACTGCTCACCTCTCCTCCCAGGATGAGAGACAGGCAACGCTATATAATCTCAGCAAATTAAACACGTTGTTAAGCCCTAACGGCCACAGAGGCCTGTGAGCGTCAACGCTATTTCTCGTCTTTCTTGGTCGGTAGGCGCTTGGTTGCATCTTTCTGGGCTGGTTTGGATCAAAACCTTCTCACCACGTAACGCATATTCCGGCACCATATAAACCAGCTCTAAAAATTACGTGGTCATTCGTTGGCCTTACCTAAATCTGCCTCTTTTTACGCATGACTTTAGAGCGAGCAAATTAGAGAAATTTGTGAGCGAGTACCAATAGCATGCCTCAAAATTTTCATAAAGGCTTCCTTGGTAATAATAAGAAAGTAGTTTTTGTCTTAAAGGACAATCCAGAGTAATATAGGATGTTTACTACCATCTAGACAAGTTGTGAAGCAAGTGATTGCAACTACTCTGCGTCTATACACGTCGCCGCTCTTTGTAACATGGGAGATGGCGGACTGCGACTGACTGAAGTAAAGCTGGCATCCATAATCAGCTGCTAAAATGCAGTGTTACAGTCACCCTGCAAGTGTAATGAAGGAGGCGGCAAGGCGAGTAGCCTTACCTAAACAGGGATGTGAGAGGACTCGATTCGTCAAACCTGCCAGGTCGTTCTTTGTGCAATAAAGTTGTCCCATACTGTTTGCACATGCCTGGGTTCGTTTGCTTCTATCCCTAATGACTTTCTGTTGTTTTGTACTTTCTGTTTTATCTCTGACAAATGGCATGCAATAGCTATCATATATATATATATATATATATATATATATATATATATATATATATATATATATATATATATATATATATATGGTTACGTGGTTAAGTGGCCGTATTTATGTGGAGTGTCAGCTGAGAGATCAAGCAGTGCTATTGGCCTCATTCCTCGTGTAATAACCAGGAGAATGGAGAAATTGATGCATTGACATTTCGGCGTCATACTTCTCTCGAAACAACTATCAGCAGGACTATACCAGTGCTACTGATATTTGTTTTGATAAAGCCACGTAGCCGATAGATCAATACATCTATCCCTCCATTCTTCTGATTATTTTGCGGGGAATAGGGCTATAAGTACTGCTTTATCTGTATGCCTAACGTTCATCGCAAAAAAACTTCACAACTTGCGCAACGTCAGCTGATGTCAAATCATACTGATAACAATCTGATGTTGAACTTGCGCCATGCTGGGCTGTCACGTTTTTTGGAATTTTATGTCATTCATTTACTGATTACAAGTGCAAGCACTTTTCACGAACCAGAAACAGACGACAGGACGCTGCAGCACAGAACTACACAAAGCAACAGACATTGGTAGATCAGAAAATGGACAGCCGTGTCGGCAAAAGTGCTGGTCGACGAATGCAGGCAGTCACGCGCCTTCGTGCGCGAGGCATGAAACAGCCCTTTTTTCGGCTAACCGTCCTGGAAACCGCTATTTTGGGGATATTTACAATGCGTCAATTCTATCTCAGCAGGCGTAACAGATGACATCATGACACCCGCAAGAGAGCGTGGATCAACACCCGCTGCAGTTGATACTCGCATCTCAGAATGATCTTGCTCATGGTGCGCCAGGCATTAACACGCGTTTGGGCGGGGGTTTTCGGTGGGGAAAACCCCGAAGGTTTTTGAGAATGGTTTCCGAATGGCGCCGCGTAGCCGCGCCAAATTATACATAGCTATAGACAACTGAATAGTGGATCGTTTAGTATCAGAGATGTAGATGTACCTGTTAAGTTCACTTATCTACGGCAGGCCAAAGTTAGGCCATGGATTCAGCGGAGTTAATTTCCAAGCAATCGTTCAGTCTGGCGCAACAACGGAGTGCTAGACCAAGCTATACATCTCTGAGGCACTTTCTTAGGCATCACAATAATTGAATCAGCAAGTTTCATTGACCTAGAATCAGGTATGAAGGTCAGACCAATATGGCGTGATTTCAGATGTTCATTTACAATTTATTGATAACAGGAACCGCATTATGCACGTTCCGTGGAGTTATTTAAGGTCATAACAGGTCACTGACCTAAATGACCCAGGTCAACATTTTGCATTTCGGAACAACCGCCTAGCATAATCTTTGTCACTTATTCAAATGCTAAACGCAAACCAGTTTTGTGTGATTTTGATCACTATGACCTTCTAAACATGAAACAGGGTCACTGACCTTGAATGGGCATGCTGCTTATTGCTTAGAATACTTATTTAGGTTCTAGGGGCATTTTGGAGGCCAGCAGATCAAGTGAGATTTAAGCATTACTAACGTAAGTTGTTCAGTGCATTGGCAACGAACATTAATCACATAGATAAAACAGCAGTATTAGCCTTATTCCTCGGAGAAAAACCAGGAGAATAGAGATATAGTTGGGTTGATATTTCGGCAACATGCCTTTATCGAAACAATAAAAGTAAATTCACTTCTGCTATGGTTTCGATAAAGGCATGTTGCTGAAAAATCAGCCCAGCTATATCTCCATTCTCATTGGTTTTCTCCGAACAAAAAGGCTTATACTACTGTCCTATATTTTACAAACGTAAGGCAGGGGCGTGGTTGCGCAAAATGAGTAGGGGGAAGGCTAAGCACTGGAAAAGTTGTAACTTTCCGCCCCAAGATGCGCTAACAAACGAGTTTCTCCCGTGGTTTGGTCCACTTTCTTCACAAAGGTAGGGGAGCGGAAGCTCAAGTTTTGCGTACGCCCTCACCCCTCGCCAATTCCAAACATTACATTTCACTCAAAACGTTGGTCACCATTGCCAGAAACGTACAACGTTACCAATTCATCAATCTTCTATGGTGCGATTGCTCCGACTTGCCAGTTTAAAAGCCTGTTTTTATGAATTATTACACCTATGCGACGTCAGTTGACGTCAATCCGTGAAACGTTCATGGGAGGCAGACGTTTGAATGTGTGCTCACTGCAATGGCAGGTTCACTGCTTCAAATGGTCCAATATTTTGCCTGAAGAATCTGACATCTGGCCCGCTCAGCTTTTGACATCATCTAATGGCAACGGCTGTTGTGCATCTATTGCCGCCGCGTTCGTCCTACACTACACAGGTTGTCTGACCGACGCTGGGTGTTTTGGATGGTTGTATAGAGGCACCTCCTTACTTCAGCAGCCCTACTAAAGGCAGCATGGGTGATCTGGAGATGCGGGACGTCAAAGAGGTGGTCCGGACAAGGAGCAGACATGAAGTGCATGATCAGAAGCCCCAGAGCTCATTGACGCGAGGCGCGCTATTCATTTCAAAATATGCCCGTGGTTTGTGAGCCCCTAAGAGTGTATTGGTATCTTGTGAGGAGTTTGCGGATGGCATCATGCTTCAGGTTAGTCTGTACCTGAAATCCTGATTATCATCATTCAATAGCTAGATTGGAATGGATCCGTTGCCTCGTTTATGATGCAGTCAGGTATGAGACATGGCAAGGAATGCGATAATCTATCTTTTTACGAGCTGTACGCAGCTCATAGCAATATCCAACTTGCTTCAGCGTTTATTTTAGTGTCAATCGTCTTACAAAACAGTGACATGGCACTTTAACTTTCAGAAGTTAACAGATCATAAGTATTTCATCAAGGATATTGCCTGTCACTTTTTCTAGGCCGTACGTGGTAAAAAGTTAAACCACATCCAAGGCACGAGCGAATACTGAGTGACTGAATCAGTGGTGCTTTGTTTAGTTGCAACGGTTTCCATTTCCTGAAGTAATCGCGGGCACATATAACCGCTTTCAATACAGCATCTGGTGCCCATTGACTTCCAGCGTTATGCTCAGTTATGTCAGGATGTAATTTAATGCTCATTGAAAACAAACGAACACTCCCATTAACTCAGGTTATTCACACCGCTCATGCTGTTCGATAAGGCTGTCATGGAATGATTCAATGCTTGAGACAATAGAATGGCCGATGAATGCCGAGTTTTGGATGACATGCTCAAAACTCTCACACTTTTCCGGAAAGTAAGCCAGTAAAGCACTCATCGATCCCCGCACAGGTTATTTATTTCCTGTGGAGTTATAAATTTGTCACATTTACCAGCCGTCCGCTGACAAGTGTATGCATTATTTCAAAAGGATGATATCAAGATGGTTAATGAGAATGATTTTTGACCAGGTAGGCTCCAAAAAGCGCGTATGGATGCGTTCGACCAACGCGACGATGGCCTTCACACGTGAGCATGTAAGAGACGTGTGCGTCTAATCTGATGGACATGACGCTGGCCTTCACATGGGACGTGTAAGAAACGTAAATATATATACATTTATATATATATATATATATATGTGTGTGTGTGTATATGTATATATGTATATATATATGTGTGTGTGTATATGTATATATGTATATATATATATGTATATACATGTGTATATGTATATATGTATATATATATATATATATATATATATATATATATATATATATATATATATATATATATATATATATATATATATATATATATATATATATATATATATATATATGATAAGGATGATGCACGTGACGCTAGCCTTCACATGGGGACGTGCAGGAGACGTGTGCGTGTATCTGATGGACGTTACGCGCAAGCACAACCCGGAGACGCGCGAATTACCCCCAGGCGCGTGCACGGACGGCTTCTATCACCCCCCCCCCTCAAGTTTATTATTTTGGGATGGATAGTTCTGGGTGGACCGGTTCTGAGAGGAGGTGCCGGGCCAGCAGTGGCCCGGACGGGATGAAGTCGTTCAACGTGAAGTTTGCCACACACAACAACACACCACACACACACCACACAACCACAAACACACACACACACACACAACACACACACACACACACACACACACACACACACACACACACACACACACACACACACACACACTCCTGATGTTAAAGCACATACTTGTACATTTGATTACAGAAGGCTGGAAGGTTTCAAAAAAGTCTTCTTGATCATCTTGTTAGCACTGAAGATGAACCCGGACCTGATGCTGTCGCAAATCAAACTGTTTGTGTTTGCAAGGCGAAAATCACCCCTTCTCTCATTCAAGGCATATTGCTGAAAAACGTCAGTCCATACAAACCATGGGTGTCACCTGCTCTTCTCCTACTAATTTCACATAAGAGTGAGCTGTTTGAACAAAAATTGAAGCACCCCAATCCCCAAAATAACAACAAAATACACTTCCCACCGCAACATCCTCACTACATCGCTAAGACTAGCAAATAACAAATACTATACGGATGAATTTATTAAACATTCTGGGATCTCCAAGGAAACATGGAAAGTATGACACGCTCATAAATTCAAAGCAAAAGGGGACGCAGATCCAACTTAGATTATTAAGGCTAATGATAAAATTTTCGTTGATGATCAGGGTATCGTAGAATAATTGAATTGTTTCTTCACTGAAATGGAACAAAAGCTACAGGAAAACATTTCTAAAACATCATTTTATCCACTTCAGGTCACGACAAATGTGGAAAATGAAACGGATCCACCCCCTACTAGTTAAGAGGAATTAATTTTTGTTATCGATCGAGTAAAAAATATCGGAGATGGAGTTGGCAATATCGATGCAAAAAATCTAGTTATGTTATAGCGTAATACTCAAAGCAATTTTTAATACTGCACTAGCGTTCTATGGTCAGAAATATTTACACCCATCAGCATTCTGCTGCTCATGTCCATGATTCTCAAAAAACGTATATATATATATATATATATATATATATATATATATAATAGACCAATTCTTCATCGAAACCAATGCCACTTAATTCACCAAAATCAGCTCTGATTTCCGAAGAACAAGAGTACCTACATGCCAATCCATCTTCTCCAGGAAACTATCAGTAAGGGCCAATGCCGCGTAGTAATGTAAGGGTGTTGAAAACGGAGAATGTGTGCTAGGTTTGAATTTATATTTGAAAAACGCTTCGGATGCTGTTAACATAAACCTGTCTTCTTATTTGTGTGGCAAAACTCAGTGCGTCAAAATAAGGAATTATTCCATCATCATTCAAAAACGTGGCGGCGGATGTTCCCCGAAGGATCGTTTCGTTGCCCAATTCTGTTCAAAATACACGCAAATGACTTGCCTAACTTAAGTAGTAACATGACTTGCGTCTCTTACACTGATGATGCTGCGACTGTTTTCAAAAATAAAAGCACTATGAAACTTGAAAGCAATGTCAGTGAACTTTGCTTCCAATGATTTCCTGGTGAAGTGCCAATTTTCTTTCACTGAAGGTATAAATCACATTAACAAAGCATTAAACTACCCTTTTCTTGCATCTCCAACTAAATGTAAATATTAACCATTCACCTATTGAAGAAAAAAACAAAATACCTTGTGCTCGTTGACAAGTCTCGTATATGTAAGCCTCACATTATTTTCGATGCAAGCATATAAACTATAATTTTTGGAACAATTAGTAGGATTAGGTACTTCATTGATAAATCATCGTCACGTCTACTCTATAACACTTTAATTCTTCCTTAGTTGAATTACTGTCGTTTGCTTTGGGGTGTTAATTGTGCTTCTCAACTACATCCGATAATACTTTCGCAAAAAAGGGCTGTGCGTTTTATAGAAAACGCTTACCCCCTCCATACTCCGAGCCAATCTTAGAACGGTACACAATTTTGAAATCATCAGGCATCGCTAAATCCCAAATGTTAATTGTGATGCAAAAACTTCTAACTTAACAGGTTTATGCATCATTCGATTCAATATACAAGGTCTACGAATCAAATGAAATGGATACGAGGCGAGGAGGACATTTAGATTACCCTTCCTAATCGTAACTAGGGGTTATTTACAACATCTTTCCTTGACCTTAAGCTGTGGAACGATATTATAGTTTCATCTTTCCGAGAATAACTGATATCTCTGAATCAAAAACCATCATTAAGAACATCATCCACCAGTATTTCGTGAATGCATGTTAACGTATCAACATATTTGAAGATATTGCAATTTTTTGCCCTGTACGTATTTAACTCACTTCATACGAAACTTGCGTCGCTGCCCCATAATCACGTTATGATATAGCCATATTGATAAACTTGTACCCAAATTCATGGCGCTGGCTCCGGGAGTTCTCCCAGCAACAAGCTCCACTTAGCTGGTGGACTCCCTGGACATCCAGCTCAAAACACAACACGAAAATGACCAGTTAATTGCTTTTCCGACTTGAGTGACTGCACAAACCTTACTAAGCTCCGTGAATGAGTGGTAGTAGCTTGTTGAGTGGTTCTAGCGGGCTGTCATTTGTTGACTTTGGCTATGAGTGCTTTAAGCGTTCCCATGTACGATATGCCCTTGCCTGTTGCATTATACGATTCCTACTGACTCTGCACCGCCCCTTCGCCTGCTTCTTAACGTTTGCTTCTTGCTCTTCCTAGCTGGGAGTGCCGCGACTTGATTTTATGTTTTCTGATGGCAACATACGGCTCATTGCGTCGCTGGTATAGAGGGAGGGGCACTCCTGGTAACCTGTTCTTGAGTAAGGTATAGAAAAGTGAAATAGTTCGCTGAGAGCCGGGTCGGATCGGACTGCGGTCCTTCCGCTCCGAGCCCCAGGGACGATCATGATGATGTTGGTGATAGTGATGCCGAAGCTGCTGCTGCTGCTGATGATGATAATGGTTGTCCCCAGGTGAGATGATGTCCAGCCCGAGTCGCTCGGCCTTTATGTTCGAGCCCTTCTGGTTTCACGAGGTCACGCTGTCCCAGGAAATGAACACCGCAAATTCAACGGCCCACATTGACCTCTACAACCTGCTCACGTGTCGGTGAGTCGCCGGGTGTCGGTGAGTCGCCGGGTGTCGGTAAGCCGCCGGGTGTCGATGAGTCGCCGGGTGTCGGTGATTTGCCGGGTGTCGGTGGGTTGCCGGGTGTCGGTGAGTCGCCGAGTGTCGGTGAGTCGCCGGGTGTCGGTAAGCCGCCGGGTGTCGATGAGTCGCCGGGTGTCGGTGAATCGCCGGGTGTCGTGCGTCACCGGGTGCCTGTAAGCCGTCGGGTGTCAGTAAGCCGTCGGGTGTCAGTAAGCCGTCGGGTGTCAGTAAGCCGCCGGGTGTCAGTAAGCCGCCGGGTGTCAGTAAGCCGCCGGGTGTCAGTAAGCCGCCGGGTGTCAGAAAGTCGCCGGGTGTCGGGAAGGCCGCCGGGTGTCGGTAAGCCGCCGAGTGTCGGTAAGCCGCCGAGTGTCGGCACGTCGCAGGGTGTCGGTGTGCTCGGCTGCGGCTGACGAGAGCCGTTGCGACACTGAATGACTATGAAGTGCTGGTTGGGTTGTTGAGCCCAAACTAGTCAAGGCTGAGCACAGCAATGGACGTGCGTGCGGTTGCCGGACGTTCCGTCTGGTGCTTCTAGGAGTCGCGGTCCAGCACCTGCCGGCCTCATCCAGCGTCACCGCAGCCATCAGCATTCAGCCTGGCGTGACTGGGAACTCTGGATTTGATGGATTGTGGCTTGCTCCCCCTCCCCCTCTCCCCCACCCATGTTTGCTACGCTATGTCCTGAAGTTATGCCGGCGCCTGTTTTAGCCTGTCTCCTGGGCTCATGCTGACGCCTGTTTTAGTCTGTCTACTGAGGTCATGCCGACGCCCGTTTCAGTCTGTTGCCTGAGGGCATGCCGGCGTCTGTTTCAGTCGGTATCCTGAGGTTATGCCCACGCCTGTTTCTCAGTCTGTCTCGTAAGGCCATGCCGGCGCCTGTTTCAGCCTGTCTCCTGAGGTCATGCCGACGCCTGTTTCAGTCTGTCCACTGAGGTCATGCCGACGCCTGTTTCAGACTGTGTCCTGATCACGTCGGCGCCCGTTTAAGCATGCTCCTTGACGCCATGTCGGCGCCTGTTTCAGCCTGTCCTCTGAAGCCATGTCGGCGCCTGTTTCAGCCTGTCCTCTGAAGCCATGTCGGCGCCTGTTTCAGCCTGTCGTCGCTGCCGCGCATGTTCGCCCAGCGGAGCACCCGCGACTTCATCTGGAGGAAACCGATGCTGCCACCGGAGACCTCCCTGGACCAAATGACCGCTACCTGCCTGAAGCAGCCGATGCGTGTCGTCAAGATAATTCGCATCCGCCTACGTAACCTGCTCCCCCTGCTGGAGGTCAGTGACCTCGCCACTGACGTAACACGAGCTCCGGATTCACTCGAGAGAAGCCACGCCGGGCAATCCTAGACAAAAATGCACCGTGCGGGATCTGTGGTAAAGCCTGTGCATGACAATCATACGCTTTCTCGCTTTAGTCTGTTCCTCGGTCCCCAACACCTTTTTCCTCCACGTGCTGACGACCTCTGTGATCGGATCTGTCACGTGGCCTGCCTCTCTCCGACAGGCGGAGGGTCTTAATGTGTACATCGTGCACTTGGTGCGCGACCCGCGCGGCATCCTCAACTCCCTTCTGCGCCAGAGGCACGAGTGGCCCGAGCGACTACATGTGCCGCAGCATATCTGCGGCGACATGTGGGAAGACATCCAATTGTGGCGTGACGTCACAAGTCCACGTCTCAGCATCGTCAGGTCAGTGTCCAGCTGGCTTGCGCTCACGGGTGACACCCAATCATGGCGTGACGTCACAAGCTCACGTCTCAGTACTGTCAGGTCAGCGTCCAGCTGGCTTGCGCTCACGGGTGACACCCGATCATGGCGTGACGTCACAATCTCACGTCTCAGCATCGTCAGATCGGTGTCCAGCTGGCCGGCGCTCACTAGACGCCGAGTCGGCTGCGACGAGGAAGTGCACCGCCCCGGACTGATTGCGAGCCATGCGCCGGGCACATCCGTGCGGCGTACGGACACGATGCCTTATCTATGGGAGATTGCTGGATTCCGCAACGGATGTGAGTGTAGCCGATCCGGTTGCAGGGATTAACAAAATAGCGTCTGTATACTGTAAAAATATCACGCTTGACGTGTTGGTTGACGATGAAATTGGGTTGTATCTGGTGTTTTGTTTTCGTCGCCGCCCAATCTCCGTGGACAGGCATCGAAGGTGGTGAACCGGGCGCCTGCAACCTTGGAGGGAACCAGGGTATAAATAAACAACCATGAACATTGGAATCAGTTGTGTTCATATGCACCTCATCGACGATCCAAAGCAATGCCGTGTTTAGTCCCTGCTTCCGTGTGAGATCTATTCAACTTTGACTCAATTCTTTCGATTCCATGATCGACTCCGACCTTCCCGAAGCCATATATAAGCGTGACCTCTAGAACGGAGTCCTCCACCCGTTGTCATTGAGAACCACTGCGTGAAGGCCGGCCTCTTCAGGCCGTCGCTGCCATGAGGCAGTCTTCAGCTGAAGAAAGAAAAAAAAGATTTTTTTTCTTTTCACCTGTTTGGGTGGATATAGGGACTCTCCCGATGCGGACATGTGAACAATGTTTTTATTTTAAGCGATGTCTTGTTTTATCCGATGTGAACATGTAACCAATGTTTTGCTGATAAATATGTACGTAACATTTTCACTTTTTACCCCCATACAATGTCACGCTTGCGGCAGAAAACAATAAACAGGTGGCTTTCACCACACACAAATCGAGTGCAAGTTATTGGGCCTTGAAAAAAGTTCAAGCGAGTCTTGAAGCACGTTATATAATATATAGACACACACACACACACACACACACACACACACACACACACACACACACACACACACACACACACACACACACACAACACACACACACACACACACACACACACACACACACACACACACACACACACACACACACACACACACACACACACACACACACACACACACACACACACACACACACACACACAATGGATATACGTTACATCTCGTGGTATTACGTTAAATTCCTGAACATCAGCTCCCACTTCTTCGGATACGTATTCTGCAGTCATCCGTAGATATCGCCATTCTCTCAGCTTTAAACCAGTGCGTAAGCTTATCAATAATTATCAATGTCGATCTCGTTTCAATGATAGATCATACATCTGCTTCCAATCATACCATGCCTCCATGTCTGGTCGTTATTGGCCGCCGCTAGCCCCCCCCCCCCCCCCATTAAAATATGTTTTAGATTTAAACATGCATTAGGCTGTCTCCTGTTTGGTGGTTTTGCCAATCCCTTCAAGGTTTCATAAAAAAACATCATTTTGAAAGAAAAATGGCTAGCTTGCTTTTTACCCTGACAGCACGAAAACCCAAACACAGCCCGAAGCAAATCTCGACCCCCGAATTGCGAATCATTGTCAGAGACTGTACCGTCGCGCTGTGGCACCAGTCGAGCCCGCTGGCTGGCATGCTACCGCCGCGTCCAGGCCGATTAGGTACAGTCTCTGTCCTGTGGAAGCTGGGAGGGCGGAGTGTTATCATATGGGTACCAGTCTATGTCTGTCCTGCCATGTAGCGCACCGGGCCATGTCTGTCCCGCCATGTGGCGCACCGGGCCTGTCTCTCCTAGCATATGGCGCACCGGGCCATGTCTGTCCCGCCATGTGGCGTACCGGGCCATGTCTGTCTTGTCTCCGATGTGACACTTTGGTCGCCTCTGCTGCTGTTATGAGGCCAGCAGAGCGGGCCGCACTGTCGTGAGCGAGCGATCTGCCCGGCTGCAGGTATGAGGATGTAGCTGCCAATCCCCTGAGGGAAGCCCGTCGATTGTTCGCCAACATGAAGGTACCGCTGCCTCGGGACGTCTTCAAGTTTGTTGAGACTCACACTAGAGTCGTCACCGAAGAAAAAGGCGGCAAAACAAAGCTACCAGAAGAGAACGGCGGCAACGGAAGTGACAGGAACAGGCAAGATTCTTGTAGTCTTCAAACACGCTTCACCTATCTATGGCGCTAAGAATACCTATGATATTGTAAACAAACATAACATCACTTGGGTTCAGCGCTAGGGATTTGACTGTTCAATGTTCTCACTTACTTTGACTCGGGATTGACTCCATTTTGATGCGCGACATGTGGCTGGGTCGACATGGACAGTTTTGTGCTCGGTTTTACTTTGAGCATGTGCTTTACTACTAGATCCCCACGCCCAGGGGTGCTTTGAGGAAATCCCTGCATTGACACAAAACACGTGCTAGGGTTTTATTTGCAGCTTGAGCAAGATGCTTATATCCGTCCATTCACTCTGGGGAAACTGGGAGTTGCACGTCCCTTTCGCGACGGCGGTCGCCGTTTTTCGCCACACATCTCTCTGGACTGCACGACCTTCAGCCCTTACGTCCAGATAAGTGTGATAAAGGTAATACTTACGAGGTAATCAAGCGGGCGCATCGGCCATACCTGTAGTGACATCCGCTTTCTCCGCCGCCAGGTACAGTAATGAATCAGCTCCATCGCATGCAAACGCCACTCGCGCACGGCGTAGCGTCGCCACCCAGCGGCTGCCGAATACACTTGAACCTCTCCATCAGCACACCACGCGACGCCACCACCGAAGCTCGGCTGCTGAACACCCGCCGCGCCGACGCGCCGCGCATTCCGGACTGCGCCGCGCCACACGCGCCGCGGACAGGAAGATTCGGGCGGTGCGTTCGCACATGCCGCAGGTCGACCTCTATTACGGCACAGTCCGCAGTGCCAAGTTCGACGAGCTGCACTGGAGGCGCGAGCTGGCCGCCGCCGACCGGCGCGCCGCCGAGCGGGAATGCGGTGCCGTGCTGCAGGCCCTTGGCTACCCGCTACGCTACCCCAGCGATATGCAGGGCGGGGGCGGGGGAAAGTGATGCCAAATATCGGGGCCGGGGTCGGGGTCAGGCACCTCGGATGGGGCGTGGGACGTCAGAGATAAATGGTGGAAGATTGCAGCCAGAGTTCACGCCGCTGCCATGGAGATGGAGCAATGAGCACTGAGTGGAGCTCGGAGCAAGATGGTGGACTTGATGCCGTGAACAGAGCCATGTCGGCTTGATCCCCTGGACGGAGGCGAGCGTGCCTGCCAAAACGTAGTGGCGTCGGCAAGTGTCGGGAGTAACGAATCGGCCGCAGAAGAACCTTTACTTCACCAATAGAGTCATTTCTGAATCATGAGATCACTGTTGTGAATAAGGTAGCCAATGCTTCAGACCAGGCGGCCAAATGTCGTGTTGAGGGGGCTGCTTTGCCGGCTCGAGAGACCTCGTTGCAAACTAGTAGGCCTCTTTTCTGGGTTGGAAGGCACCCTTCATTTTCAAGAGGCCCCATTTCCGGAACAGTAGGCCCCTTGCATGCATCAAATGGCCGCAGTTCCAGATTCGGATGCCTGTTTTGGGACAGCAGGACCCCTCGGCTAGATTCAGGGGCTCCTGTCTGATTCGGAAGCATACCGCTCTGGATTATATACTACCTTTAGGCATAGCTCGGGGCCGACTATGGCTACGGCCGGCTTCTACCTCTAGGCCCCTCTCTGGAACAGGATGCCCCGTTCAAAGTTAGCGAGACCATTTGCTACATATAATAAGGCCCCATTTCGGAAATTTGAACTCTGTTCACTCCCTTACTTGGATATAATACATCTAGAAACTGATGACAGATGCATGCCCTCGGTGCCCCCTCCCCTTGAAAACAACAATGCGCAGAAGGCCCTTCTGTGAGGGGGCCACCTGGGAAATCCTGCCCCCCCCCCCCCCCCCAACTCAGAATCCGTGGCGCCACCCCGGGCTGGAATGTCTATGTGGCCGACGACAAGAGAGCCTGCCGTAGTGGAATCACTTCTTTCAGTAAAGAGCGAGCACAAACCGAACGAGCACTGCTTCCCTTAAGGAAGGCGACATACGTTAGCATACCAGCCAGCTCTAGCCAAATGATAGCGCCGATTCGGAAGAGAAGATGCCATGGAGCTGCTGTCAGCGTACAGTGTCAGTTTTACCGTGTACCGTTGTCCGTGTACAGTACCGTTACCGTGTCAGTTAGGCCCGTTTTCGTGTGCGGATCAACTGAAGAGCTGCCAGTGTACGGCTACTCAGCGGCGTCCTGCTGTCAGTACACGGTCACTCAGCGGAGTCACGCTGATAGTACACGGCCACTCAGCGGAGTCTCGCTGCTAGTGCACGGCCACTCGGCGGAGTCTCACTGCTAGTACACGGCCACTCAGCGGAGTCTCGCTGTCAGTACACGGTCACTCAGCGGAGTCTCACCGCTAGTACATGGCCACTCGGCGGAGTCTTGCTGTCAGTACAAAGCCATTCAGCGGAGTCTCACTGCTAGTACACGGCCACTCAGCGGAGTCTCGCTGATAGTACACGGCCACTCAGCGGAGTCTTGCTATCAGCACACAGCCACTCAGCTGAGTCTTGCTGTCAGTACACGGCCACTCGGCGGAGCCTCGCTGTCAGTACACGGCCACTCAGCGGAGCCTCGCTGCTAGTACACGGCCACTCGGCGGAGTCTTGCTATCAGCACACAGCCACTCAGCTGAGTCCTGCTGTCAGTACACGGCCACTCGGCGGAGCCTCGCTGTCAGTACACGGCCACTCAGCGGAGTCCCGCTTCCAGTACACGGCCACTCGGCGGAGCCTCGCTATGCGGCATTCCATGTGTTACTTTCTGTATTTGTTACGGCGCGTAGATCAGCGTTCACGAGATGGATTATGCTCTCTTCATTCACACGATAACTTCTGTAAATTGTGTGCTTGTGTTCCACCGTGTGCGTGTATGCGTGTGCGTGTGTATTTGCGTGTACATGTGTGCGTGAGCGTGAGCGTGTGCGTGTGCGTGTGCGTGTATGCGTGTGCGTGTGTGCGTGTGCGTGTGCGTGTGCATGTGCGTGTGCGTGTGCGCGTGCGTATGCCTGTGCACGTGCGTATGCGTGTGCGTGTGCGTGTGCGTGTGCGCGGTGGGAGGAGGAGGGTTGCACAACCGAAGGAAGCTATAGTGGACAGGTTGGCGCCCCCAGTGCCGCCGTGTGGACAGGTTGGCGCTCCCAGTGCCGCCGTGTGGACAGGTTGGCGCCCCCAGTGCCGCCGTGTGGACAGGTTGGCGCCCCCAGTGCCGCCGTGTGGATAGGTTGGCGCCCCCAGTGCCGCCGTGTGGACAGGTTGGCGCCTCCAGCACGGCCATGAGCACACAGACGGTCTGGCAGATGGCGGGTGGCCACTTGGCTATATCACTGCTTCGCACTCTGGGCACTGGAATGGACGGGTTATGGTGCCTCGGGTCAAGTCGGCCGTCTGTAGACTTACCGGTATCGGCCCATGCACGCTTTTATTTTGCAATGCAATCCACGTGAACTAACTCAGTGTGCGCGAGTGAAACATATTTCTCAACGCTGGCATGACTGGTCGACAGTATTTGTGATAGATGGTTTTTGGTGGTTCACATCGGTAGCTCCAGTTATATGTGCAGCTCCTACATGCACGCACTGCACCTCGCGTCAGTCATTCACCGCTGCCTGTTTGCTGGTCTTGTTCCTACAGCCACTGCATTCGCGATCTCGCAAAGAGAAGACGCCGCGCTTGGAAGCTCATGTCACTGAAGTGACAGCGGTGACAGCGGCCCGCGGGCACCTTCCCTTTTCGGACAGCGCTCTCATGTTGAATTGGATTGGAGTGTTTTCTTATGCCACAAGAAATGTGAGCATGAAGGGATGCGGCATTTGCACACCATAAGGGGTGCACTTCGCTGTTTGCGTCATTCTGCGGTTCTCTGGTATCCGGACATCGGCTGTTTAATTCAATTCAATTGACTGTTCAATACGTTTGGGAAGGATGCCTTTGCGGCCATCCTTTGGCAAAGTATGTGATTTTTGCACTGTGTCCTGCTGTACTCTGACCGTTGATTGCCTCTCGGTGCATTCTGCCTCTTGTATGTCAATGTATGCCATGCCAAACACTCTCAAATAACGTTCAATGTCTCGTAAAGTGCAACCCGGTACACAGCACAGCTCGGCATGGTGAGTCGCGGTGGTTTTGCAAAACACGCATTCACCTTAACCGTTGACCATAGGTGAAATAATTGTATGTATGCTGTCTGTTAACCTTCAGCGACTACTGTATGCGTGCTACTGTATCATCATTTCGACGGTTGGTGTTAAATCGATCTGGAGCGATGAATTTCAAATCACATTGGGTATTTAGGTTGGTGGCGGCGCCTTATTCCGTTCCTGGTTATGATGATGTTGAGTTGCTGTTGTTGATGATGACGATGGCGATGATGATGATGATGACGACGACGACGATGACGACGAAAACGACGGTGGCGATGATGATGCTGATGCTGATGCTGATATGGCGACGACGACGACGACGACAACGACGACGATGATGATGATGACATTGATGACAACGACGACGACGACGACAACGACGATGATGGGGATGGTGGTCGTGATGGTGATGTGGAGCTCAGTCTTAGCTGAATCTCATGCCAAATGCTGCCAATGTACTCTGTTTAGAGTGGCGCATCACACCCACGTCCAGCTAGGAGCGTTTGAGCACAGCGAGGTGGAGTGCAGAGGAAACTTATTGAGAACAAAATATTTCGACAGCAAAGTGTTTGACTGTGATAATTTGGGCATTTGAAAACATTTGTGAACTTGACAGTTGGGAAAAGCTATGGTTCTTACGTATAGCGAAAGACAAAAGACGGCAGGATAGTCAGGAAATTTACACATGTTAGGAAACACAGATGTGTTTTGTGACACTCCAACTTTAACGTTTTTAAGGTGAGGTATTTAATAGAAAGCTCTGTTTTCTATGCTGGCCTAGCCCGTTATTCACTGACTATATTCACACCCCACGCCATTTTCAGGACCTTACGCATCATATTCCAGTCGAGCCGTGTGCACGTTTGCCAAAACAGCCCCTAAACAAAAACCAACAAACAAAGCCATAGCCTGTTTTGGGGGTTGCTTGGCTGGAAGGGGTGTCTTGCGAAGGGAGTCTAGAACAAGTGTCTTGTCTCGCGATAACGGCTGACAATGGTGTCTTGTCTCACGATAACGGCTGACAATGGTGTCTTGTCTCGCGATAACGGCTGGCGATGGTGTCTTGTCTCGTGATAGCGGCTGGCAATGATGTCTTGTCTCACGATAACGGCTGGCGGTGGTGTCTTGTCTCGCGATAACGGCTGGCGATGGTGTCTTGTCTCGCGATAACGGCTGGCGATGGTGTCTTGTCTCGCGATAACGGCTGGCGATGGTGTCTTGTCTCGCGATAACGGCTGGCAATGGTCTCTTGTCTCGCGATAACGGCTGGCGATGGTATCTTGTCTCGAGATAGCAGCTGGCGACGGTGTCTCGCGATAACGGCTGGTGATGGTTGTCTTGGTTGCCGTCAAGTGTAATATGCAAGCAATACGCACAGCTTAGAATACAAACATCCTGCCGTGCATTTAGGACTTGTCAGCTAAATTTCTGACCGTTGCATTTCAAGAGTTTTACGTCTTCGGCCACATTCACTCAGCTTATTTGCGTCCTCGGTGGCCATTTCCATCATGGATTGGTTCCGTTGATATTTGCCTTCCAGGGGCTTTTGTATTTTCGTCACCGTTGAGGGCGTCTCTGAAGCTCTCCAAAACTAAGCAATCTAAGCCTCCCGAAAGAAGGCGCAGGAACGCTCCGCTGGTCTGCATCACACAGGTGTGGCTGAATGATGGTGAATGTAACCTTTGAAGAGTCAAACTGGGTCAAAGGGTTCAAGCTAATAAAAACCAAGCGTGCTACGACAATGCGGAGGACGGCGTCGCTCTTGAGGAACTGTATCGAATAGGCATGCGTCAGCATTTTTCTCTAGTATTAGGAAGAGATGCG